GCTCTGTTTCCTCCACCCTCCCCGCACTTTTGGCATCGGCCTTGCCCCCTCCCTCCCCTCCCTCACCCCCGCGGGAGCAGACTCTCGCTCTGCTTCCCTCTTCTCTCGCCCACCCCTCCCACCCCTCCCACCCCCTCCCCGCTGCTCGCAGTCATCAGCTCGCTTCCCAGGAGCTGCTTCCGCTCACTATCCGTTTTTCGTGTGCTAAGGTCGGCGTGGTGGCCCGGCACCTTGTGCCCGGCCCCTTTCCTGCACGTTTTCGTGCCTTCCACCGGAGTTATTTGTACTCGCCTGGCTGTGCCCCCTGCAACGCGCCACCCTTTACGCTATTTGGCGCTCGGCATTTCTGCCAGCTCCATTTTGGGCTGGCGCCGCTGCTACTTTCTTCAAGTCCGTGTATATGCTCTCTTTCGCGGCTTCTGTATCGTGCGTGTTTGCGTTTTTGCGCCGGCATGGTGCGCCCCATCAACCATCCGTGGGGCTGGTGGTGAGGCGCCGCTTTTTCTGCGCGACGCCAAGTGATCACCTTTGTATGGCCAGCACACGGGAGAGACGATTACCAAAAAGGCACGGGAGAATCAGATCAACACTGCAAAGTAATTGGGCTCCTGTAAATTAAAAGGAAACCAGGCCAAATGGTCTATAGTTTTTTATGTTGCAGATTAATGAATGATGTAATTTCTTGGAAAATATAATGAAATAATCTTTTATGCCATTTATTTGTGCAAGCAATATTTATTTTTTTATATGAAAATGTAAAAACAGTAGTTGTTACATTCTTTATAATTTAACATAATGGTACTTCATCACTCAGAAACATTGCATACTTGGTTTGAAAGGAAATTTCCAAAACTTACTTTTGGGTGTGATAGTGATGGCAGCTGACAGAGTGGTGTGTGGTTAAGTTTGAAATATTCTAGCTGAAACGTAAGCAGGCCAATAGCAAGGCTAATATGGGGAAGGTTTCTTGGTCATTCTGGTAGAAAGCCTAGTTCAATTGCTTGTGGCAGTGTTGCTCTTCTGAAAACTCATGTGTGGAGATATCCTTAAAATTAAAGAATAATTATCACCTCCTCTCATTTGTGGTGACTAGAAAGTTTTGGGCTCACTGGTGGTGTAGATTTTGTAATTGCCTGGTAAGATTAAGGTTGAATTCTGGTTCGATACTCTTGGATAAGAGAAATCCTAGCAGTTATGACTTTGCTCTTTGGAAAAACTGGGTCAAATCAATCAGACGTCAAATGCGTGAACAGTCCATAAAAAACAAACTAAACACGACCATTTACATACACTATATTTTACACTGCAACTTATAATATTCCATGATTGTGCTACACCTAACTTCACTAACTGTGTCAGGAGCTTAAAAACCCCAGGGGCCTGTTTGTTTGAAATTTTTGGGTTTTTTCTGGAGATATACGTGGAGGGGAATTGGCAGCAAGGCCGACAAGTAGTCAGTGCCGGATTTATTCGCAGCAAGTGAGGACACAGCATTTTTCTGGGAAATAACTCGCCTACCTGTAACGGGCAATGATTATAGTATTCGACTCGCCGGAAAACACAAATTTAGTCAAGGTGACATTTTCATTAAACATTGGACTGGAGAAAAATTAAAGATCCACCTATTGTTGTTTTTTCTCCAAATCTTTCATACTAATTTGTAAAGGGAGTTTTTCAAGATATGGGTTGTGTATTAGTAGAGTTCAAGTTGCAATTTTATGATAATATGTTAATCATCTCAAGTAATGTGCGAAATATATTTGCTGACATAGCAGTTAATGTAGTATTTTTTTCATTGACATGATAGTTTATGGTAATGGATAGCAAAACATTTTCTGTTAACTAATATTCTTTGTACAATTTTTTTTTATATTTTTTGCTTTTTCATTTTAGGAATCCTGAGTTTGATGTGGAAAAATGTCGATCGTCTGCAGAGATATATATAGGAGAAAAGATTTTTGTATTTTATTGGCATTTCAAATAAAAGAAATAGTAGATGAAGTGTAAGAAATATCTACAGTAGGTGTTTTTAACATTCTATACAATATTTCACCAACAGCGCCAAACGGTAACAATTCCCTTTTGAAAAAAAATTTAAAATTTTTTTCCCCCAAAAAGAAACTTTCCCAAAAAAAAAAGGCCCCAAACTCTTAACCCAAATTTTTTTAACTGGAACATTGTGTTTTGTGCATCTTTTGGGTACGGCAGGTATGTGAATTAAGAGTTTCCTTTTCTACAGTTAATTCTTTTTATTGACAAGATTTTATTGATAAAGATGAATAGTGGTGTTTTTTCTATGATCGCGTAAGAAATGAAAAAGGGTGAGAAAAATTTCTGAAGTAGGTTTGTAGAAAAGAAGACAGCCTTTCTTCTAAGTGATAAAATGAATGCTTTCCCATTTATTTTTTTATGTTTACTTTAATGAAATTAATGTTATTTGTTGTAGTTACAAACATTCTACGTGATGTAACATCCATATTAGTTTTTTTGCTACATTTTTGGCATGTCATGTGTTGTATTTTTATTTCCTTAACACACATTTTCAAATATTAATCTTGGTACTTGGACAAAACAGTTGCTCAATTCATTGGAAAATTTCTTCAAATTTAAAGTGGGGTCAAAAGTAATTTTCGCAGTGGGTATTTTAACTTGAAAATAGCTTATAATTCACATGTAATCTATTTTTACTGGTTCAATAATACTAGCATTCAACAATTTTTACTCATATTCTACTTGATTCAAACTAATTTATATTTTTTACAATATTTAATACATTTTTACTACTTCTCATTTCCATTGCATTTTAATATATTTCACATGAAAGTGGAACACATTGTATCATTAAATGAGTTTTTGCCAACTTGTGGTCCTGAATTGTCATTCTGAGAGGAGCTGGTGGATTTTTCCTTGATTGGCCAACTTAATCCTGCTTTTTCAGAAATCCGATACAGTTAGCGAGAAGACTTTTGGCGGAAGCTTGAGTACATACAACGCATGTGCTAGCTCCTATGTTTTCTAGAAAGTGTTGACATTCCTGCAAAAGCTGCTGAAAGACGAACGGGAGGAGAAAAGAAGGAAGGAGAGATGCACCTTTATATGGAAACAATGAGCATAGCACTGGTTGTTGATTACTCAGCTTCGGGGCAAAGTCTTCTTGTACTGTATCGGAATTTCTGAAAAAGCAGGGGATAAGTTTGCATTCAAGGAAGAAGATCCAGTTCGTCAGAATGACAATTTCAGGAACACATGCTTGGAAACTATTATGATACTAATGTTTCACTTTATCATTAATATATTAAAATGCAATGAATATGTAGAAGTAGGGTAAGATGTATTAAAAATATGTAAAATATAAATTAGTTGAATCAAGTAGAATATTGAGTAAAATTGTTGAATGCTAGTATATTGACCAGTAAATATGTATTTCATTGTGATTATAAGTAATTTTAAGTTAAATACACTGGAAAATTACTTTTTGGACGCCCACTTTTAAATTTGAAGATTTTCCAATTGAATTTGACAACGTTTTTGTCGCAGTAAAGATTAATATTTGAAATGTGTGTTAAGGAAATAAATAGCAAACGTGACATGCAAAATTTAAATAAAACTAATATGGATGTTATACGTAGAATGTTGTACTACATACACATAACATTCATTTCATTAAAGTAAACATAAAAAATAAATGGGAAGATTTCATTTTATCATAGAAGAAAGGCTGTTTCTTTTCTCAACCTACTTAAAGATTTTTCACCTTTTTCCTTTTGGGGCTGCATAGAAACAAACACAATCTATTCATTTTATCAATAATCTTGTCAATACAAAGAATATACTGGTAGAGAAGAATCTTAATGTCAACATACCTGCGGTACCCGCCAAGATTTGGGGCAAAACACAATGTTCCAGTAATTGTAGTGGGCTGGAAGGTTCTGAAAATATCAGATAGTATCGATGGGGCTGGTGGTGGTGAAATATGTATAGAGATGTAAACACGTACTGTAGATATTTCTTTTACACTTCATCTCTTATTCTTTTAATTATGAAATGCCAATAAAAGTACAAAATCTTTTTCTCCTATGTATAGCCTTGCAGACGGATCTGAATTTTTCCACATCAAACTCAGGATTCCTAAATGAAAAGAAAAATTAAAAAAATGTATCACGAATATAGTTAACAGAAAATGTTTGTTTGTATCTTACCATAAACCATCTGTCAATGAAAAATACTACATTAACTGCCATAATGTCAGCACTATTTTCTCAATTACTTGAGGATGATTTACATATTATCATAAACATTGCAACTTGAACTCTACTAATACAAAATCAATATTTGAAAACTCCTTTAACCAATTAAAGTATGAAAGATTTGGAGAAAAACAACAATAGGTGTATCTTTAATTTTTCTCCAGTCAAAATTTTCATGAAAATGTCACTTGCTAAATTTGTGTTTTTCCGGGCGAGTCGAATACTATAATCATTAGCCTTGTACAGGTGAGGCCGAGTTTTATTTCCCGAAAATGCTGGTGTTCTCACTTGCTGGGAGATGAAATCCGACTGACTAATTGTGGCTTTGCTGGCAATTTCCCTTTCCAGCGTATATCTGCCAGAAAGCATAACAAAGCTGGTTTTTAAGCTCCTGACCACATGGTAGTGAAGTGTAGGTGTGCAGAGAACATGGAGTAGTTAAGTGGTGATGTGTATTAGTGTAGTGTAAATGTGTGTGAGTGTGTTGTTATGGGACTGGTTCACGCATTTTGCTGGTTTTGATTGACAGTTTTTTCCAAGAGAGCGTCCCTGGCTAGAATTCTCTTCCAGAGAGTGACAGAATTCAACCTAATTCTTAGGCGCATTAACATCTACCACACAGGAGCCCCCCGCCCCCCCCCCCCCCCGCCCCCCCCCCCAAACTCTAGGATTCACGCACAGATGAGGGTGGATATTATCTGCTTATAATTTAAGGATATGCTGCACAGCATGAGTTTTCAGAGAGAATCATGCCACAAGCAAATTGAACTAGTGGTTCTAACAGCATGACAGAGACTTTCCCATCTTAGCTTGCTTATTGGGCTTTGGTTTCAGCTAGATATTCAAACTTACCACAACACTCTTGGTCAGCTTTGCCATCTATCACTAGCAAAGTAGTTTTTTTGGAAATTTTCTTAATAAAGTATGCCAGTGCTGGTGAAGTACGCATTCAGTTTTAAAGATTATAAAAGAATGTAGCAACTACTGTTTTTGGACATTTCATAAAAATAAATATTTGCTGACAAATAAATGCATACAAGATAGTTCATTAATATTTTCGGGCAAAGAACTACATATCATAATCTTGAAACATAAAAGACTTAGACCATTTGGCCTGTTCCTTTTAATTTTTAACATTATTCATAGTTTTACTTGCATGGTGGATCTGGTCTTCAGTGCTTTTAGATCTTCTTCCTCTTCGGCTCTTTGGTAAATTTATACTTTTCTTCAGAAAAAAGGTTCAGCTTTATTTGTTATTGGTTCTACCTTTCTTCTCAAACTGCTAACACTGGGCGAACGCGGGGGCTTGGTTGCCTAGCGCGCGGATAGGAAGACCAAACGCACCGGGGGAGAACACTGACTGTCTGACTAAGGCCATTGACAAGTCAATGTAATTTATTATTGATGTCTGAGGAAAATTATAAGATATTAAAAAGTCTGAGTTCATAGGTTGGGATGGTGTTTTTTCAAATGAAACAATAAAGAACGGTATCATCGGAAAGATTCAGAACAATAAAATTGAAGGAAACAAAGAATTCATATGATACACGGTACTGAAAATTCGATCGTAATATAGTCTTGTAAATAAAACTGAAGTATGAATAGAATAAAACCCAGGCCTGTTAAAATAATTTCTTTAAGTAATTAACATACTGGGTATCACCACCGATAAAACGTTTCACTTAGTGGAGAGACAAAATTTCTTCACGATATCAAGTAGCTTGCGATTAAATGCCAGAGTGTAAATGATAGTTAATTGATTGATGAGAACAGCAATTGTGAAACAACGACGACGAAGACAACACTTGAAGATAGTAAGCTGAAAATACGTATCAGACCGCGAGTAAACCGCGACATTGATGCACTTGGAGCAATGGAACAGAGGAAGCAGGTAATAATTGACTTGATTGACTGATTGACTAATGATTCCGGCCGCGTCAACGGCTGTCATTAGTCCTGTAAGTGTGTTCCTCGGGAGATGGCGGTGATCTTCGTCCGCTGGTGAGATCCGGCGCTGACGTACAGACCGCTAAGGGGGTTTGCCCCAACTCGGGATCTCCCACCAGCAGGGGCAAGCCCTGATCTCCCAGCCGGTCACTCGGCACGTGTGGTAGTATAGGGAATTTAAGTGTAAATGTGTGCGCGTAAGGGGTGAAAATAGGACGACGAAGGACAGATCGCATCCGATCCGTGGCCCGTTTGTTAGGGTACTGCTCCGACATTCGCCAGGTATTGATCGGAGAAACCACGGAAAACTACCAATCACAGCTATCCGAACGCTAGAATTGTCCACCAGACAGCCACTGAAATTGTCCTAGCTATCTAGATAGAGTCGAAAGTCCTGTACACGTAATCTTCCTCGGCTCGTGTTCATGACTTCTTCACTATCCGAGTAGTGCCGCGTCGATGGCTGAGAGGGCGGACGTTTCGACAATTACGGCAACGTGGATTTCAAGGACGAGGCGAGGCAAGAGTAAAGCGTGAAATCTGCCCTCAGTATGTTGAATGAAAGGCATAGAAAACATTACATGAACACGCACCAGTTTTAGGAAATATAGTGAAAGCTGAGAAAAATGTTGCAGAGATGAATGGCATCACGGTCTAACACCAGCAACGAGGGAAGGGCGGCTGGGCGGGGGCGACAGGGCGAGGGCGTCGCTGCGCTGCGCTGGGGCCGCAGGAGCCACAGCGTCGAGTGCGGGGGCGGCGGGCGCGACCCCTCGCAAATAGCTGTTTAACGCACTGCGCCAGGCTGATTTTACGATCGCGACTTGCCAACTCATTAAAGCGGTTAACAGCTGCCGCGTCGACGGATGGCGTATCGGGCGCCGGCGCTGGAGCTGAGGTCGCCTGCCCCCCCCCCCCGCCAAGCCCGAGCTGCCTCCAACCCGCCTCGCAGTTGGCTACTCCGTGCGCGCGACTCGTGAGGGCACACTCGCCTCCTCCATAAATTAACGTCGCCCCGGAGACACCCTCACTAGTTCGCCGTTCCCTCAGCCCCGTCGCTCATTCCAGCACGTCACCCGCATTTACCCGTTTGGCCCTCTTATCGCTCGTTTCACTTACAAGTTTCGGTGTTCACGTCTTTCCCAAAACTCGCCGTCTCCTAATCTCTACCTATCCTCATTTCTCCAGAACTCACGACATCTACAGCTCACCCCGCCCTTCCAGCCATCCCAGTGTGTTCAGTCATTCTTGCATCTTCAGCCCCCACGCCTTTTCCGACCTCCCCGCCGCTCCGGACATTCCCCGTCTATTCAAGTCCCCCCTTACACCTCTTTAGCTATTTCCGGTCCCTCTCCCATCCCCACCTCGGTCAACCCCCGCCTCTGCCTTACCTACTCCGCCTCACCAGCCTTCCCCGCCTCACCCAGCCTTCCCCGCCTCTCCCAGCTTCCCCCGCCTCTCCAGCCTTCCCCGCCTCTCACAGGCCAACATCGTTTTCCCCTTTTGTCGCTTATCCGTTTCTATCATTTTCTTTCACAGTTCCAAACCACTCATAGTTTACCCAAACATGTGCTTGTTGTAGCTTCATGAAAAACGTTTCCCTTCATCACACACGTAACTTTACCTTCTTCCGCCCCGCGACTCGGCGCGCGCTGTCATTTGCCCCCCCCCACCCGCCACTGCAATTCCACTCCGCGCCGCGTCACGCCCCACTTCGCACCAGCAAACGAGAGCGCGCACCGAACTGGCTAAATTTGTCAATTTTCGCAATAAAATGATAACGGCACGCCCGCCTCACGCGAAATGTCTCGGCACTTAATTCACGCGCGCAAGAGTAAAGCGATGCAACAATTTTCCCCCGATCCCATCCAGAGAACTGGTTCATACACTCTTCTTGTTACGTATGTAGCTGCACTCACCTCTGCGATTTTTAAGCGTAAATAATGCTACTGATTACTGATAAACGTGCCGAAGTTTAGAAATCAGTCTACATGAGTTTACACGTCATTAATGCTCTCCATGCGAGGATTAAAATAACCTGTTCTCTAGGTAAGCATATTCAATTCAATTGTCGCTTTCTCTTGCACGCCAAAATTGGATTTGACCTATGAATGAATAACCCATAATTACAGAAATCGTGTCCACTTTGCAAAGGGTTGATCTGCTTTTGATGTGTTCGTATTAATTAATTAGCTGCATTGATTGGTGAAAGTCGGAGTCCAACTACATTGATACCCCAGCTATTACTGCAAAGGCTGATGGGAATTACAGCCTTCATTTCTTCTAACAAGCTATCAACATAAAGCTATGTTGAACAGTTATAGACGACGGGCAGTAAACATTTTGTGATTCCATTATTGGTCAAAGGATTTCCAATAGCTGTAAACTCTCTAAATAACGCAGTTTTATTGCTCATAAATTTAATAACACGCAATTCTAAATAAAATGTGTTATAGAAATACTAAAAAGACATTTATGTTTTGTAAAATTTTGAAAAAAGTGAGTTTATAGGTAAAGATATTCCTTATTGAAATGTGTGTATAATAATAGCGTTTCACGAGTTATACAAATAATATGAACGTATTTTCATGTCAAGACTAGCTAAATCTGCAAACGTAGCACTTCTTAAAAGGAGAACGCAGCATAACCGTTTTGAAAATACTTCAAAATTACCCGCTCACAAAGACGCACAAGACATAGAAAACAGATAAGACGTCATTTCAAGACGCGACAATAAGTGCGCCTAAAAAGAGAGTTTACGGAGGTCCTTGCCGAGGCAAGCCGCCACAAAGAGCACCGGGATGGGCGATAAGACACGCCCTGAAACAACGGAAGGTCGCAGGGCTTGAGCACGCACCGCTCGCGAGACGAAATCTCGAGAGCAAGAAAGCGTTTCGGTCGATAGGGGACCGATTGCGAGAAGTGGATCACCAAGATATTAAGGGTTGTTGACGCCCAAAAGCTCCCGCAAATAAAGGAGAGACTAGATGACGAAGGAAGGGAGAGAGGAGAAAGAGGGGGAAGGGCAGAGAGGTCCTTGACGAGACACTTTCACCGTGGAGGAGCTCAGGTGGTGTCCCCACACAATTACATTAAAAACCCGTTTGGCGCCTCGCGAGCCCGTAATAGCGGCACTTCGTCGACGATCATTTTTCTAAATGTAGTTAACGTGTGACGCGGTGGACGGGAAAGAGTATTATGGTTATACTTTCAGGTTATAGTACTAGCTTTTGTTCGCCAAAGACTCTTGGGGGTTATTCAACGAACGGCCCTAAAATATTGTATTATCAATAACGTAAAATTTTGGAATAATTGATATTACATATTTTTTAAAAGATAAATTTGGATGGCAGTGTATATGAAATACCAGCGTATAGATCAACTATACCAAAGGTATTGCATCAATGATTTATGGCGTCATTCAGACAATGACTTTAGAGAAACAATACCATTAATAATCAAAAGAGACAATCGAAGTAAATAAATTCAAGGAGTGTCAGAAAAATGTATTTCCTTTTCATAGTACGAGTAACACGTCAAACCAAACCGCAAAGTTTACAATGGACAGATTTGTAATGAGAATATGGACTCCCTTGAGAAATTATTTCAGGGCAGGACAGCCATTTGAGAACATTCTTTTTCATAATTTTATCCTCGACTACTGGATTAAAGAAAAGAAAACTAAAAGTTACATAAAATTCAGTTGACCATATTAAAAGGTCACGTTATGCTGAAATAATAATCTAATTACGACATTGAAACACGGCGGATTTAACTTAAATACATATGACGATGAAAAAATACGTTTTCACAAGAAAAGCAAATGAAGATCAGATTCCCAATAATGACTATAGATAATTGCGTTGCACACATGAATACATGTGTGTGGTCACAGGGTATCTCTTCCGCATGGGACCGTATGTAAATGTCCAATCGAAGCATAAGCGGTGGCTTTTTCGACAGCAAAGGCAGTATTGGTGTGTCTGTGTGTGTGTGTATGTGTGTGTGTGTGTGAGTGAGAGAGAGTGAGATAGAGCGAGAGAGCGAGAGCGAGAGAGCGCGAGAGAGCGAGAGCGAGAGAGCGCGAGAGAGAGGGAGGGAGGAGAGAGAGCGAGAGAGAGAGAGGGAGGAGAGGGGAGAGAAGGGAGAAACTGTGGAGACGGGCTGATCGGCCCTGCAGGAGTAATTAAAGCCTGCCGGCGGCAGCGGCAACGCAGCGCGACGCGGCGCAGTGGAAAATGAATTTACACAGCCACCATTATGCGCGCCACGCGGCGCCGCTGCAGGTCCCACCGGCAGTGAGCGCTTTCAAAGGCAGAAGGCGAGCGCGCAGGCGGTCACGACGAGGACAGCGAGAACGGGCACGGTGAGGGCGGTGTCGGCGGGGACGGAGTGAGTGAGGACGGAGACGGTGACGGGGTTGGGGAGAACCGGCACGGTGAGATAGGGAACGGTGAGGGCGAATACAGTGAGGGCGGGGAAGAGGCAGACGGTGAGGACAGAGACGTTGCGAACAGGGACAGTGGGAGGGGAGAGGTCTGTGAAGAAGTCTATGAGGTCCAGGACGGTAAGGGCGAACTCGATTTTTTGCACTATTTAATGAAAGATGTTGAAATGTTCCAACAAGCTAAAAATCTAAAACATTCCACTTCAAATAGATGTATTTGTACGTATTTATTATTTGTGATACTAACTTAGTTTTTATTAAATTAGAAAGAGTTAAGTCGGAAAGCCTTGGGTCCAACATTTGGTTCCGACTTGCACAGGTTTCAGGCTTATTCAGGTTTTCAGTAATAACTGTCAATTTAGAAAACGCACTCATTCAAAGATGGAATGTGTTTTATGACTAGCTTATCTCACCCCGAAACTCCACTTCAAAGAAACGAAGAGGTCCCGGGGGAGACAAGAAAATGACACGCAACACGATGTCTCGTGAAACAAAGAACTCCATAAAAATTAAACGAAATATTATGTTCTTTAATATTTGAAGGGAAGGGGACTGTTGATTTTTCCGGAAATATAATATTTCCATCAACGTAGTAAATGTTTTATCCCGGGAGATGGCAATGATCATCTAGATGGGGAATACGGTGTTAACCTGCACGTTGGAATGACAGTAATTTCCTCTCCAGGTATCTCCAGGACAATCTCTGAACTCTCGCCGTGTGTTGCCCTTTTTTTAAATCGTTCCAGCACTCGCCCCCACATCGTATTTGCTGCATTTGAGCCAGCTAGTGTATAAAATCCGTCACCTTTGGGGCTCAAATATTAGGACCTGGCTTATAGTTACGTTGGCTGTTACACTAGGAGTTGTTTTTAACCGTGCATTTGAAGTAAATCAGCTGCTGCGCTTTCATCCAATCGGGATCTTATATGTCGCTACAGTGACGTCTCTATGGGGACGTTCAAGCTCCAGATTGGATGAAACCGTCAACGGCTGATTTACTTCAAATGCATGGTTAAAAAAGTATAGCTAAAGTGAGCCGGCAGGAACAAAGAGAGAAAGAGGGTATGGCATAACAGAATTGCCCGGAAGAAAGCAGAACGAGGCGGAATGGGCGAGGGCGAGAGAAGCGGTGGAGGGGGTG